ATTGGATCATCTTGAGGGAGTGAAGAGGCAGCACTGGTGGGGCGTGAGGAGACAGCACTGGGGGACTTCTTGAAATAGGTGTCCAATTTAGACTGCACAGTTTGCTTTTTCTTTTCATTATAAATTTCTCTGTAGCAAGCAAGTGCATCTTGGATCATTCTGTCGACTTTGGCACAACGCTCATAATTTTGATCCATGTCATCAAACATTTGCATTCCTTTATTAATTGTAGCAAATGCCTCTGCCATATGTTTCACTGAAAACTTTTTGGGGGGTGCAGGCTCTTCTTCTACATTTTGTCTCTCTTCTTCCTCTGCAACTTTCTGTGCATCTAGTTCAATAAGATCCTCGTTACTGAGCTCTTCTGCTACACTTTCAACCAACTGTCCAACATCTTCAGTATCAATTTCTAACTCCAGTTGTTTACCTAACTCCACTATCTTGTTACTAATATCCAAAATAACTTCATTTTCATTAAATCCTTTGAAAGTGTGCACATATCTTTTCAGGATTTTCTTCCATATTCCATTCATGCAATGTTTTGTAACCTGATCCCATGCTGTACTAATGTTCTTTATACATGACAAAATGTTGTACTCCTTCCAAAACTCTCTGAGCGTTTTCTCACCTTCAGTAGCAGCAACAGCCTGAGCGAAGGTCGTGCGTAAATAATACGCTTTAATGGCAGAAATAGCACCTTGATCCATGGGTTGGATGATAGAGGTAGTGTTAGGTGGAATGTACACTACCTTAACATCAGGGTGCATGTCGTCCAGGTGTGGTGGGTGTCCCGGAGCATTATCCAAAATCAGTAAAATCTTGAATGGAATCCTTTGTTGCAGACAATACTCCTTGGCTCGTGGAATGAAACAAGTCATGAACCAATCCTCAAATAGTACTAGGGTCATCCAGGCTTTCTTGTTACTGCGATAAAACACTGGCAGTGTGTGCTTGCTGACATGTTTAAAAGCCCTGGGGTTCTCTGAATGATAGATCATGAAGGGCTTTAGCTTGAAACCAGCAACATTCCCCCCCAACAGAAGTGTAATTCTGTCCTTGAATGCCTTGAATCCGGGCATTTTTTTTGCCTCTTTGTGGATGTATGTCCGCTCAGGCATGCGTTTCCACAATAATCCAGTCTCATCCACATTGAATATTTGCTCAGGCAAATAATTCCCTTCCACAATCACATCATCTAACTCCTCCTTAAAAGCTTCGGCAGCACCAACATCGGCACTAGCTGCCTCTCCACTCACCTTAACACTGTGTAGACTGTAGCGTTTTTTAAATCTATCAAACCACCCATGACTTCCTGTAAAGGTTTGATCACATTCATCTCCTGCCCGCTCCTTCAGGCTTTGGAACAGGCTTCTTGCTTTAGCCTGTATGGTTAGAACACTTAAGGGTACACGCTTCTGCATCTGGTCTTCTATCCATATCACCAATAATTTTTCCATATCGTGGATAGGACCTTGTCTTTTCTTTGATATTATAGTTCCCTTTATAGGTGTTGTTCCTTTCACTACTTCACGAATACGTTCCTTGTTCTTCAGAATAGTGGATATAGTCGAGTGTGAGAAACCTAGGTCGCGGGAGATTGCTGCTACTGTTTCTCCATTCTCATACTGTGTTATTATCTTCAGTTTCATCTCAAAAGTAATTGCCTGTCTCCTTTTCCTTGGAGCACCACCAGCACTCTCACTTTTACGCTTTCCAGTCATTATAAAGTCAATTAAATACGATAATAACGAAAGTTCATAGCGCGATCAGTATAGGATACGATAGCCAAACACAAACAAAGCGCTCCACTGAGTGAGTGTACCCACGAGGCGACCCAAGACACCCCTCCCTCTCGCCCGGGACGGAAACGTTTCGGTATAGAAAATGCGCGCGTCATTTAAAAAAATTTTTGGTCACGATGGTCGCAGTCGTATGTCCCGTATGGACGTACGGTCAAAGCAGGTCGTAAGTACCAATGGACGTAAGTCCACGTAGTCGTAAGTCGGGGTCTAGGTGTATATATTTATTTATTTATTTATTTATTTATTTATTTATTTATTTATTTTAGAACGTCGATTTAAAGTGATTCAGTTTAAGATAATTGATTTAAAGCGACACCCAAAATTATCAGAAAAAAGACAATTAACCCTTAGCTACTCTGCCCACATATGCAAAAAATGGAATACAAGGAACACAAAATGTCCACTGATGATGGCTGCCTTTCCAACAGATAACTTTCAATGATTATAACCACTGCTTAACATTTCAGTCAGCATTAACTAACCAAACATGACTTGCCCTAACTAAACCTACGGTGCCTTGCAGTTGTTAGGTACTGTACTGTTCTTGTTGTCTGCTTTCAATGGATAAGATGTGGTTAAATCATATTGTTTGTGATATTTTTTTCCACGCTGGTTATCTTATAGTAACAATTAAATTCTTTCCACAGAGGACTTGGACTTGAGAGAATTCTTGAAAGCTTGATCACTACCTACAATGACCCGGGTAATTTGGTCATTGTAGTTGGCACCACATCACGAGAAGAAGAGTATATATTATCACAGTTAGAGGGTCAGGGAGTAAACCCCCTGCCACGTTGTATTACTGCTGACTGTTCTGTGAGTGAGAGGTTAGTACTGTACTCTTGCATGTGTTAAACACTGTTACATAGTTCATGTTTATGATGCTGTTATTGGACCATGAAATTTCTGCAATAATTGGGGAATCTGTTGATGCATTTTCACATGGATTTTGGTGGATATTTTCCCTGTCCATACCTTTCCATTTCCTGCATATTGGGTAAGATTTCTCTCATGCCTGTTTCAGACACTGCCGTTATTACACATTCTTTACTTGCATTTGATGAGCACAAAATTTATGTAGCCTGTGTTTTGAGTAACTTATATTCACAAATACAATAAAGTGAAAAAGCAAGAAGCTAATGTCTTTTTCCCTCTTATATTGGAGAATTGCATTTGTTTGTTGATATAAACAGTGTTGTTAGGATCTTTGTTTGTTCTTTATGAGATGTGGACTTTTGCAGATCACAGATTTACCATCAGGGTGGGGTGCTGTTTGTTACATCAAGAATCATGGTGATGGATGTGTTGATGGAGCGTATTCCAGTTGACCTTATTACTGGTAAAATAAATCATATTTGTCTGTGTTGTGAAAATGATTATTTAAGTAGCTGTATTTTTTCTGAATAATATCAAAATGTAAAACATTTCATGCCTAAGAATTTCCAGACTTCTAGTAAGATGTGTCAATAATGCCTGAGTGAAAGGAATGATTATTATTGATGTTACATGGTGACATTTATTGGTTGACAGGTAATTAACACTCTTGGCATCACCTGAAATTTATTTAACGTTCTTGTCGCTCGCTCTGTTTGAAGCACACACAATGACCAGAATTCCCAGAGAAGAAATTTTTTTCATGAGCGCTATTTATGATTAAGACATCGTCAAATATTTATTCAAATGATGCCTTCCTATGTAAAAAAGTCTGGGAAATCACATGAAACCCTCAAAACATAAAATTATAAGTAATTTTTGCGAGTATAAGTGAAACGTGAGAGTTTACTATTGATTCCTCTTCAAGCTGTACCCATATCATTGCATCAGTCTGTATAAAATGCACATGGCAAGAAAGAGTAAATCATGAGGAAGATGATGGTGTAACACATCAGAAAAAAGATACTGTAATATAAAAGGTAACGGAGTGACAGAATAAAAAGTAAAAAGTGGTGGTTAGGCATGCAGTTGTTGAAATGTTTATACAGGTAAACTTTTGAGTTACAATATCCCAAGAAGTGATATTCCACTTTAATGATGGTCATAAATTAAGACCATCTCGTTATGTATGATCAAAATAGCTCGCTTTAATGATATCCATCGATATTCATTGGTTGGAATTTTTTTTTTTATCTCTAGTGCAAATTATGGGCTGTATATGCAGTGGTCCCTCGGTTAACAAACACAATTCGTTCCACAGAGTCATTCGTTAACCAAAAATTTCGTTAACCGAATCCATTATTTCAATGGGATATTGAGTAATTGGTTCCAGCTCACAGAAAAGTACAGTTGGGTCTTCATTTACGCGGTCAATTGAACCCGTGGAGTACCACGTAAAACGAGAAACGTGGAAATGAAATAACAGAACATATGGGATTAATTGAAATAGAGACTGGGCCGACCCCCAAACTCCACTTTTTCCGACACAATACGTACCTTGTAGTTAAAATAACATCTTAATTTTATGATGGTATGCACACACAATTAATAATTAAGAGAAATATCAATAATATTAGGTTTTTTAACACTTATGTTAGTAGAAAAGATGGCTGGGTACACGGGGATGGGAGGTCGGTTCCGAGGCAGAGGGCAGATTATTGGCCCTCACCTGAATCATTTGTATCAATTGTATCACTATCCACCACATAGGCTTGCAGGGCCTCTTTGTCAAACCCCTCATCAAAGTCCATATCCTCACTATCACTGACTTGGGCCGGCTGTGGTGGGCGGCGGGTGAAGAACTCGGTAATGTTTTGATGACTGGGCGACCTTGTGCGCACCCTGCCCGCGCCGCTTCCCACGTAAATGACCAAATTTACCGTGTAATTAAAGCATTTCAATTCTGGCAAGGCACCACGTAAATGACCAAATGCGTAAACAAAAACCGCGTAAATCCAGACTCAACTGTACACACAAAGTTAAGCCAAAAATGCATAAAGTCAGAAACACTCCGAAAATTCCCCAAAATCGCCCTTAAATCACTATATATACATACGTACATACACACTATTACTCTTAAATCACTACTGTAATGTGATACAGGTGATTAATTTTTATCTCTCGTGCAAAATATATGACGTTTATATTCAAATTATTTGCTGTCTTGCAAGGATTCCAGCAATGCAAATTATATTCTCCTAACTTTAGTCTGAGATATTATATTAGATAAAAACTGTAAGCCTAAAACCCTGGCTGGACAGATGGGGAAGAGGGAGGGAGGAGAGTATGGGGGTGGGGGGGTGAGGTGATATTGTGGGGTACATGATGTTGGGGTTCACACTCAGGATGGGATGGAGAGAGGAAACTCACAATGTGCTCTCTGTATACATATTTTATTGGATGTACAGTGCAGCTTGGTGCTGGGAAGTGGCAGCGTGGTTACAAGCGTGATGTAGAGAGAGCTGGTTGGTGAGGGTGCTCAGAGGAGGACAAGCTTGTGGGTTGCCATGCTCGCCGGCGGGAGCGAGGGCCGCCAGGCAGAAGCGGAGGAGGTGGTATTGCTTGCTGGTTGGTGTAGGTAGAAAGAGAGTGGTCACCACGAGGTCAGGTCTTATATGGCGGAGATAAGCGTGGCTTAATAGTTGACCTCCGTGATGTATGGCAGCGCTGGTTGACCTAGACCACGAGGCATACACTGGAGAATTCGCGGGGTCGGCTACTCAGCGACAAACAGCGTTTGTAGGGGAGGTATCCACTACAGTACTCTGCCCTTCCCTCCAGGTGGTGAAGGAGACTTGTTGTCTGCAGGGTTGCATGGCACATGTGAGGCAGAACGGGCGGTGCATGCCACATGTGAGACATAATGGCGAGGGCGTGGATGAGCCGGCCGCTAGTGGAGGCAGCTGTCTAGACACACAAGATCTGTGGGAGAAGAGAGGGAGAAAGAGGGTTGTGGAGGTGATGAATGTTGTGTTTTCCTCGCGACAGGTACAGAGTCGTCAGATGCGCCTGCTGGGGTGTGTGGGCCTGGGCCAGGAGCAGGGGCTGCGTCAGCAGGAGCGGAAGAGAGTCCGTGACAGCATCTGGGTCCATGACAGCAGCAGGGTGCAGGACAGTAGCAGGGGGTACATGAGGGAGAAAAGAGGGGTGTGTGGGTCCGCGTCAGGAGCAGGGGCAGCATCAGGAGGCATGGCAGGGGGGTACTGCTGGGCCGGGGCGGCGTCTGAGGCAGGACGGGTGTGTTGGGGTCGGTAGAACGTGGTGCTTGGGGCAGGAAGAGGAGCTGGTGTCTGCTTAGAGAAGCAGTGCTGCTCTAGGATGTCTAACCTGCGGTGTAGAGACAGTAGCTGTAGAGCCGATGAGAGCTGCTTCTGTGTGGATAAGCCAGTCTTCCATGTTGCTTGAAGACTGGGAGAGTGATCGGTTTCTCCTCCATCCTATGTGAGTGCGAATCTCTGGGGTCACCATTTGTGGGGTACGTGATGTTGGGGTTCACACTCAGGATGGGATGGAGAAAGGAAACTCACAATGTGCTCTCTGTATACATATTGTATTGGATGTACAGTGCAGCTTGGTGCTGGGAAGTGGCAGCGTGGTTACAAGCGTGATGTAGAGAGAGCTGGTTGGTGAGGGTGCTCAGAGGAGGACAAGCTTGTGGGTCGCCATGCTCGCCGGCGGGAGCGAGGGCCGCCAGGCAGAAGCGGAGGAGGTGGTGTTGCTTGCTGGTTGGTGTAGGTAGAAAGAGAGTGGTCACCACGAGGTCAGGTCTTGTATAGCGGAGGTAGGCGTGGCTTAATTGTTGACCTCCGTGATGTATGGCGGCGCTGGTTGACCTAGACCACGAGGCATACACTGGGGAATTCGCGGGGTCGGCTACTCAGCGACAAACAGTGTTTGTAGGGGAGGTATCCACTACAATATGTTTGACAGTTGGTGCCAAAGGTCTAATGTGTGTTTATTTATCAGTTCTTAAGTGACTAAGCTTCTCTAATAAAATGCCAGTGAAATGACTTGGGAAAATATAATTTACATTGCTGGGATTCTTGTAAGATAGTGATTAATTTGAATATAAACAAGCTATAATTTGCACTAGACATAAATATTTTAGTGCCATAATCATTTAGTACATGTACAGTACAGGTTTGCACTCAGGTCATTTATTTCTGTTACGTTTCTTTTAGTATGGTGTGTGCATGTAAATGAATGAAAATAAATGAAGAAATTTATGTAAATCTACCCTAAAATACACTAATGTAATTAAATTTTTATCTCTTGTGCAAAATATATGATGTTTATATTCAAATTATTCACTGTCTGTGATATTATATGAGATAAAAACTTAAAGCCTACCGTATAACCACCAAACCCTTACTGGGAGGAGGGTTGACAGTGACATGTTTGACAGTTAGCACCGAAGGTCTAGTATTTTTTTTTTATTTATGTCCTTTTGTTTGAGTTTTTGTTTTTTGCTTATAAAATGTCAGAAGTGACCAGGTAGAATATAATTTATGTTGCTGGAATTCTTATAAGATAGTGATTAATTTGAATGTAAACATGCGATAGTTTGCACGAGACAAAAATTTTAGTAATCATTTTGTACATTATTTTGGTTACATGTACAGTACAGCTTTGCCCTTAGGACAGTGTGTGCATGTAAATGAGTTTCAGTAAATGAACAAAGTTACATATATCGAGCCAAAAATAATAGTTGAAAACCTTTATGTAGACAGAGCTTGGATGGCTAAATTTTAGAATGATCAATAATTTTAATATAGAAAATGAAAAAATATACAAGAACACAACGTTCTTGATACCGTATATACTCATGTGTAGTTCGAGTTTTTAAGACCAAATTTTTGGGCAAAAAATTGGGGGTCGACCTCTAAACGGGTAATAGTTTCGTTAGGTTGAAAAATATTTACCAGTAACTGCCAGTAACCAATGGAAACGACGCACCACCAGCTGTGAGTGTCAGTACAGTTGCCAGGGCAGATCTCTTGCGTCATCATAGCAAGCCCAAAGTAGCCAAATGCATGGTATGGTAGCACAGGACGATGTGAAACATAAGTATTCATTTTTAAAAGTTTATTTATAGATACATAAATTTTTTTTCATTAAATTTGAAACATCAATCTTTGTTAATTAAATTTGAAACAAAAGAAAACTACGATACCGTATTTCTAAATATTTTCATTAAAATATTACATCACAAGTATATTTTACCTTAACTGTGCCTGAATGAATATATTCTCAGAAATAAATATGGAAATGTAATATTTTTGCTGAAATGACGTACGTATTACAGTGGAAAGTGGGATAAAATCATGACGAAAACAATGACTTTCGCTTTCTTTCGTTCAAAAAATGTTACCGTAATCGTTTTTCGAATGGTTTTCAGTTAAAAAACTGTTGTATTACAATAATATTCTATCCTAATTAACTTGAATAAATACTTGAATGGAAATATACAATATTTTTGTTGAAACTACTCGCCTTTCAGTGTAAATTGTCGTAATAATAGATGGTAAACAATTTGCCTTCGACACTCGTTTCAGGCACGGCGAGCCTCAGTTTATAGGACGTCGAGTGCTTTTAGTGAAGGTTTTGTTGTTCCATTACCCTCAAAAACTTGGATCAACCTATAAACGAGGAATATCATAAATTAACGATTTCTTGGTAAAAAAAATCAGAGTCGACCTGTATACGAGGGAGGATTATAGACGAGTATACACGGTATTTACTCCACTGGAAACGAATGTAAATAAAGAACAGATTACTGTTTTGGCGGACTAGCCGATCAGCTGATGCTTACAACAAAACGTGTTTGTCATAAGGATTTCGTTAATTGAAGTTTTGTTCGTTAACCGAATTGAAGATCCTTATGGGAGCTAATTCGTTAACCAAAATTTCGTTAATCGAACCGTTCATTAACCGAGGGACCACTGTGCTCAAATTAATTGCCGTCTTGCAAGGATATCAGCAATAAAATTATATTTTTCTTCGTCAAGTCAATGACATTTTATAAGGAAGCAATATTTAACCCTATGCATGTCACGTCACCACCTTCACTTGTCAGCCTACCCACACGCCGCCACACGGCCAACACTACAGACCTGTGTTTGGTTCTTTGTTGATCATAAACCTGGCATCGCATGGCTCCACGAATATTGGCCAGCATCGTACATTGTACTTATCATTGTTTTTTGTTTTTTTTTACTTATTCTTAGTTTGCATTGATGCCACAACTCCCATAATGCAACGCATCTCTACCTACAAGATTGTGGGGCGCACAAAGGATTATGGGAGTTGTGACATCAAGGCAAACTAAGAATTAGTGGATAGAACACACACCTATTATGAGATTGTGAAAAATTAAAATAATATAGAAATAAATTAAAACTTCCATCATAGTTAAGGATTGTTTGAGCTAACCACAGAAATCATTTAGTCATGTAGTCCCCAACGCGAATGTAAACAGACCATACCAACGTGCTTTATATAATATTTTTAACTACCGGGTATTTTCTCGATTCAACGAACTAATTCGAGCCACCCCTTTCCATTAAATCAAAATTTCTGCTAAATTGAATTTCCATTATTTTCGCACGATTTAGCGAATAGTTCGCTAAATCGAGCGTGATTCCGTTAAATTCTGCGCTAAATGCACCGCTTGGCGCATGGGGTTTGTTTACGTGGCGGCGGCAGGACACTGCCGCCGCCACGTGTGTTGTTCACTGATACCTCTTTGTCTACGTCTTGGTCAACTAACTACTGTGCTTAGACATCATGCTGAAAGTCTGTCAGAAGTCTCAAAAAGGAAGTGGTGTGGGGAAGAAAGTAAAAAGAGTGCGGCTATCAATCGGAAAAAAGTTTGGAAAAATAGAAAAAATTAAAAACAAACACCAAACCCCCTAGTTTAAGGTATGTACATATGAGGTGTGTCCATAGGTGTGAGCGTATGAATGGAATTAATTTCGATTTAGCAAACTAGTTCATTAAATCGAGTGAAATATAATGGAAAAAATTCCTTCCTCTTAGTCAAGAGTTCGTTATATCGGATTCCGTTAAATTGAGAGTACCTGTATACTGTACAAATATTCTTAGTTTGCATTGACGTTACAACTCCCATAATCCTTTGCACGATCTACCATCTTGTAAGTGTAGATGCATTGCAATATGGGAGTACTGTACAGTATAGTATGCGACATCATGTGAATACTAAGAATATAGTGAAAGGACAGCACTAACATTTGATTGAACTGTGTTATGGCGACTGTGAAGTGATATTTTCTGTATTTTTGTGACTGTAAGGTGTGTTGACACTTGTTTTGAAAATGTAAGCAGTGTTGGCAGCTATCATTGATTTTTGTTATCATCGTTCATTCTGTTTTTGTGACAAGTGCTTTTGCTCTGTTTTTGTAACTGAAGTGAGCAGTGTAACTTTGAAAATGTCTGGGAAGGCCAAGGCATCCAAGACAACCCTGTCTCTGAGGTGAAGCTTGACATGGTTAAGTAGCATGAGACTCCCCAGAGGCTGTGTGGGAGTCAGAGTGACATCTCCACTCTACCTTCAAGAGTTCCCTTAGGATATGGAGAGTGTTGTTTAATTGTTTTGTACTGATAGTAGTATTGTAGGAATTTTTTTTTTTGGTAATACATGTGTTTGGGGACTGGCTGAGAATGTATCCCATTGAACCCTATGTTATAATGTGCCCTATCTACGATAATTCACCTAGCGATGGGTTTTTCAGGAACCCAACCCCATCGTATCTTGAGGTCTACCTTTACACATTTTTTTCCTTGCTAGTTTTTTGTCAAAATCTTTTGAAAGTATTTTTTTTATGACAGATTATTACTGTACACATATTAATGAAGAGAAATAGACCAGTTAGAAGTTTCTGTGACAAAAACTGAAATTTTGGCAATGATGTTTCCACTTACCTCTCAGACTGGGTAGGCCTCCAGGCCTTGGCATATGCACGACAATGGCGATGGCGTTATGAATACATATCAAATAAGCACAATATAGTGCATTCATTATAATTCACCATACCCATACGCATGGCTCTACTGTACTACATTTCACTATCACTCATTAATTTTCCAAGCTACATCTACATATTACAACAAGCTTGTGAGTAGCCATTTCTTCAATGTTTCATAAATTTAAAAAATATTTCACTATTTCATTATAAATATTTCAATACACATCACTTTATCACTTCATAAGAATAAATATCGAGGTTGTAAGAGACTGAGACACTCACTGGGTACTGGGGCAGAAGCATTACTGGCATTTGTTGTCTGTTACCGCCTGGTCCACCACACATCGACAGGTTGCCACTTAGCCTCAAGACTTGTTTCCGGGTAAGAGAGTGGCGTGACAGAAGTGCCGTTAAAATTTTAAATAATTCGACCAGAAACTTTTAGAGAAAATGAAAAAATGCCATACTGGCATATCTGATTGCGAGGCAAATGTTTAATTTACATTAAATCAAAATGCCACTTATGTGTGTGTATGATACCAAGAGTGTTAATACTTGTTATACAGTTCTTGGCTCTCCCTAGTGTGGATAATGACAAGATTGACATATGATATTTTCTTTTTCAGGTGTGATTGTCTGGAAAGCTCACAAAATCCTGGAGTCCTGCCAGGAAGCCTTCACCCTTAGGTTATATCGGCAGAAAAACAATGTAAGTGATATCTTTGTTTGCCGGAACCATTGGTGCAGAGCACTTCCGGGAATGAGAGATTTATGGGTAACAAGACGACTCTCAAAGCCAGAAAAAAAATCCCTCATCATTGGAATCATCTGGAATTTTCCGGGTAACGGAAAAATTTTCTCGGAAGTTCCAGAAATTGTGCATTAGATCAGGGGAGACGAGGAACAACGAGAACGTTTCGAGCACAGGAACAACGTAATAGTTTATGGAGTCCCTGAGAGCCAGTCGGGGGAAGCTAAGAGTAGGAAAACACACGATAAGTTGCAGTTTGAGAATATTTGTACAGGGGTTCTGAATATGCATTCCACCCCCCCCCCCCAGGATGTGAGGAGGCTGGGTCAAAAGCAGGGGGACAAGCCTCACCCCCTCAGGTTCACACTAGTGAGTGAGGAGAAGAAATGGGCAGTTATTCGGCAGGCAAAAAACTGAGCAAGGAATGAAGCATTTCGGAATGTAGTATTCATTCGCCCATATCGCATGGTAATGCAGAGGGAACAGTACAAGAAGCTCCTGCAGGGCTTGAAGCAGAGAAGGGAGGAGTCGAGGAGGATTGGGGATGGGTGTACATGGGTTATATCCAGGGGGAGGGTAGTGACATTGCTGGATTCCTTGTAAGACCAGGAATATTTTGAATATAAATGTCATATATTTTGCACAAAAGATAACATATTTACTCAGAGTAAACATTATATCTAAAATTTGTATGTCTAATGCAAAATCTATGATGTTTATATTCAAAATGATCACCAAATTGTAAGAATTCCAGCAACGTAAATTATATTCTGGCCGGGTAATTTGTATGAATTTTATGAGCTAAAACAAATATCTTCAGTTAATAAAAAAAAAAATATTCTTCACGACACTATCTGTCAATCAAAGTACCCCACCTTGCCTCCCCCCTCTTCCAACCGCGCGGTCCGTCCCAACCCTCCCCCCACCCTCCACCAATCCTCCCTTCAAGAGATGTTGGGTGAAAAAACTAAATTTTAACATTTAGTATTAAATAATACCTCAGATTAAAGTTAGGATAATATAATTGACATTGCTGGATTCCTTGTAAGACCAGGAATATTTTGAATAAATGTCATATATTTTGCACAAAAGATAACATATTTACTCAGAGTAAACATTTATCTAAAATTTGTACTTTATCTATTACCAAAATCTATGATGTTTATATTCAAAATGATCATCAAATTATAAGAATTCCAGCAATGTAAATTATATTCTGACCGGGTAATTTGTATGACTTTTATGAGCTAAAACAAATATCTTCAGTTAATAAAAA